TTATTTATATTTAATTTACATATTTTAATTTGCTACAATTTTTCTGCCTGCACCATACATTTTACAATATTAATTGTAATATATAATATAATAAACTTATACAGCATCATCATACATACATCAAATTTCTATTTAATTACTTTCTGAAACAGAACATAAATATTACAAACGAGCACTGACATCAGAAATTATAATTTGTTGCTCCTCACTTCTGAGAGAGACTTTTCCAGCTTTCCTCTCACACTCAAGTTCTTTTGGAATTTGGCTGGGCGGCTTGCAGAGCCAAAAGGAGAAAATGACTCAATATACTCGTGCACTTGGAAACACGCAATCAGTTCAACTTTCAAATGCCAGCCACGAATTTTCCAACTGCATTGTATTGTAATTCAAAACCCCTTACACAGGTCAACTGACAGCAGTTGGCGCCAAGCACCAACAACAGCAACAGCAGCAGCAACAACAATATCTGGGGGAGGTGCAACGGCAGCAATAACGAATGCAATTGGCAAATGCCAGAAAGAAAATAGTTTAAGTGCAAAATTTTACGCTTTATCGAATTACCCGCGGGTGCTTTAACTTACTGCCAAACTTTTCGAGGGGGCAAAAGTTGTGCAGCGCGAGTTGTGGGCGGCCAGCGGACTGGGGCGGGGCTCGGGGATTAGGGGTGCTCGCAATTTATGATTGTAAGGTGTTGCAATGGAAACTAAAAGCAGTTCTTCGCTTTCTTGGGTAAATTTGTTATATTTTCTTACTGTCACCTAGACCATTTATTAAATGAGTTGGCAAAGCTAATCGAAGAGTTATGGCCGCAGCCGTGGAAATGGACGCAATTGTGAATCACTTCAGCTGTTGTTGCACGCATCCACGAGCTGCCTTGACCTGCATCCCTGCCTTTCATACCTGCAGCTGGCTGCTGCGCTTTGTTTGGCCCAGCCCACGCCCATCTGGCAGCCAAGCTGCCCACTCAGGGAGCATACGGCAGGGGCATGGGCCAGAAGAGGTCAGAAAACCGGACCAATAAAAAAATAATTTATAACAAAGCGACACAAGGCGAGCGAGACTCGAGCCAGCCGCAAAAACGTGCAGCTAAAATTGCCCAAAATGCTAAAGTAAGATTTATGCAAATCGGAAGTAAACATTAATCAAACTTTTTTTGCCCTGCGAAACTCCCCCAACAGTTGCTGCTCCCGAGCCGGTTGCCGTTGTTGTGGTGTGTGAATGGCAGGCCTAGAAAAACATGGCATACTTTGCGGCGCCAGCAGCCAGATTGCACGCCAAGGATTGTGGGTCAGAGATACTCGTGCAACGAGCGGAACTAAAGGAAGCACAGCAACAAAAAAAAAAGAAAGAAAACCTTCTGTAACTGGCCCTTCTTACGGCGCCTTTGTGTTTTTTTAGCGTGAACTTCATAAATTACGACGTCATATGCCAAAAATAGTCGCACAACGGAGTCTCATCGTCATTTATATTGAAACGTCAAATCAACGGAACGTGTGCGTTCTCTTCACATGCCAGAGAACGTTCGCCCCGCATAGAAATGTTGCAACTCAATGCCGGTGGGGCGCAAATTCCGTGAGTTTCTGTATCTCCCCTCACTCCTCTATGACAGCGAGCATATCTTAAAATAGTTTGCCTTACGTGCAATAAGACTTGTGTATTTCATAAACTTAACTAGTACATTTAACTACAACACGAGGCCGGTGTTGGATCTACACCAGAACGTTTAGTTATCGATAGTCGAGTGAACTCTTCTGCGGTTGTGGGGTGAATGCCGACAGTGTTAAGCAGCGTCTTAACAGTGAGGCCCGACTTCAGAGCTGCTGCGAATCCCTGAATGACCTCCCCAGCCACGGGCCCAATGTAATGCAGGCCGAGAATCTTTTGATCGCCCGACACCTCGGCCACAGCCTTGAGGTAGCAGTGGCGAAAACTCTTCTGCGGTATGAAGAACTCGGTGGGCTTGTAGTACCCGTGAAACACCTCGATATTATCGGCCCCCAGCCTCTCTATAGCCATCTCCTCGGACATGCCCACGCAGGAGTACTCCAGTGGCGTGAACACAGTGGTGGCCACATCAGTGTAGTCCATCAGCTGTGTCGAGCCAGCGAAGAGGCGTCGCGCCAGCAGGCGACCGGATAGAATGGCCACTGGAGTCAACTCTGGCCGGCCGTAAATGATGTCGCCCACGGCAAAGATGTGGGGCACACTAGTGGCCTCTGTGTGATCTACAATGACTTTGTCGTTGTAGGTCTGTACGCCAGCAGCGCCCAGGTTGAGGTCCTCGATGAGACCCTTTCGTCCGATGGCCCACAGGACCGTATCAAAGACGTCGCTCCCATCCGTCTGGGTCGTCGTGTTGCGATACTGAACGAGCAGCTTGCCCTCGGACGTGCGCTCCACCCCCATGGGAATGGTGGTATTCAGGAAGTGTATGCCGCGGTCCGTCATCATAGCTGCCAGGAGCTCGGACATTTGGCGATCGAAGCCGCGCAGCACGATCGAGCGCACCATGACTGTGGGATCGTAGCCAAGACCCTTCAGGAAGCAGGCGCACTCGAGGCCCACGTAGCCAGCGCCGACGACTAAGGTGCGGCCTGGCTCCTTCTCGTAGCTGAATATGTCGTCGCTGGTGATGCCGAGCTCCATGGCGCCCTTAATGGGCGGGTATCGCGGTCGGCCGCCCACTGCGATCACCACGTACTGAGCAGTGGGCTGCTTCAGCTCCCCTTGCTTCGTTTTGTACTTGATGGTATGGGGGTCCACGAAGCTACCTATGGAGTTCACGTACTCCACTTTTTTGTCACGCAAGTCCACGCGGGTCACCCAGTTGACGGACTTGATGTGGTTCTGCACGACCTTGACCAGCTTCTTCCAGTCGGGCTTGATGTCCCGATCGTTGACGTTCCAGCCATAGGCGACGGCCTCGTGCACGGCTTCGCCCAGCAGCGAGGCCTGATGCATCAGCTTCTTGGGTATGCAACCCACATTCACACAGGTGCCACCCACGCCCCACTTGGTCCCAGCCGGCGTCGGCTTCACATAGTCGAGACATAGAACTCGTGCGCCATACTCGACGGCCTCCTTGGCGCAGGCCAGACCGCCCGAGCCACCGCCCAGCACCACCAAATCGTAGTCGAACTTGCTTGCGTTTCTCACCGAGCCTGAGAACCGCAAGAACAGCACAGAGCGAAATGTGCCCGAGCTCCGCAATGACTTCAGCAACATCATATTCTGCTCCGTATTTATAATAGTAAAACTTGACAATTTGTAGCAATGAAGCTGGGGAGCTGCCAACTCGACTGCTACAAGCCAGGCTGGCCAGAGACTCAAAATGCGCTGCCAACTTGATAGTGATCTGATTTATACACCACCACTAACCATAGTAGGGCTAGTGATAATGTTGCAGAATTTGAGAGTTCAATTTAGACTGAAAACTAATACTATTTACATTCAATTTATTGATTGTTTATTTATATCTAGTTTTTTATTGTTCAGGAATATCGTTACTCATTATATAACACAATATAATAACATTCGCATGTAGATGTACACCCTGTAGTAGGCAAATAGGAGCTCGAGGGGATAGCCCCAAAGCTAATTGTCTATATAATTCACATCGAAAGTTGGGCATGGAATCGGATAATAGTTGAAAATGCAATCATTCGGAAAGAGTGAATTTCATTCTAGAGAGCTATCGATAGTGCTTGCAGTCGATATTGGACGATGGTAATCTCCAAACTATCGATAGTTTTCGATAGGTTTTTCCCAAAGCGCTAACTTTGGTCAGTTTCCAAAGAGAAGGAACTGGTTAGTGCTGGAGCTAATGAGCTTTTCTCATGCAATAACCAATTATTATCGATAATCACAGATACGCATTATTTATATCTCAAGAAAATTTCATACAAGCTCTGCCCAGACAGAGGTCTGCCCTTTCCAATCCCTGTCCAGCCACTGACCCGATTCGAATGGAGTGTGTCTGTGATGTCAGTGATGTCCACATTCAATTTCCAGAATGATTTATACAACTTGGCCTTGGTGGACCAAAGTGTCAGATATCGGGGCGAATAACGAAAGTCGCCGCTTTAAGTCCCTCTCTTGTAGGTTTTTCCTGCGAATCGCAGTCAATGGCTTAGCAGACACCTTCAGATGCTTCAGGTTATTCTCACTTCAAGCATCTTCTGGAAAATCTGCGTGAGTTCTGCCTAGCCTTTAAGCAAATAGGCAGAGCTTTAGCCACATACATATACACTTGTATATGTACAAGTTCAGTAAAAATGGTGAGATGTCAGCTTCAATGATTTATGTTTCACCATGGACCATTTAGAATTTCGGCTGGACGATGGTTAGATGCCCTCCGCTCTTATTGCTCGGCTTGCCGAAGGGCCTTTACACCCATCTCCAATCAAGTAAATGGCGTTATGCTCTACTGCCTGAGCGACCGACTGCCTCTTGGCTGTGCATGGTTGTCCTAATTTCTAATCTAATATTTTTGCGTACGAAGAAAAAATGGGACCGAACCAAGCCGAGAGAAATTCTTGGCCATGTCCGGTCCGGTGTCTACTTTGGGTATGATTTACTTTTGCGGTTTGTTTTTGGTGCGTTTAACCGCAAATATTTAATGGATTTATTTCGGGACTAGCAGCCCTCAGCTGCGATTCATTTGTAAATGTCTGAGGCTCTCACCGAGTGTGTGAGTATTTTGGCATATTTATTAGTTGAACCAAACGACCTAGAATTTGTAGTTGTAGTTGCAATGCCCGGTGCCACGCCGTGAATCGTACCCGCACCCCCAGGGTTACAGCATAATCCTCTGACTCTGACATATATTTGTGTGTGTTTGTGTTTGTGAGTCCTGGCTGAACGACCCAGTTAAGTGGACAAAGAATAACTCTGGGCGAGTGCCGGAGCAGCTATTGCATACTTTGTTACTTCTCCCCCCTCCTGAAACGCAGGCGGCCGTGATGCATCTTTATCGATTCGTAGATGAGCATCGAGTGAATGATGTTCGTGAGCGTGATGCTGCTTATGACAATGGCGTAGGTCAGGGAGCTGATGTCGTTAGACCACAATGACCAGATCAGAGTCAATTCAAAGGCCAAGATACGCTCGAGCACGAATATGTTCCACATAATTACAACGACAACCAGAAAGCCGAGTCTTCGACGCTGCGGGGAGTCAGGCAAGGAATTAGCTGATTATGAGGAGCAATGATTGGGCCGGAATACCTGCATAACATCTGCCAAGAGCGCCGAGGCATTGATCAAGTAATTCAGATACACCATGGAGTCAGGAAACTCGTTATGCTCCGTTGGTAGCTCTCTGGAGGTCCTGAGGCCCCCGATTAGGGCCAACTGGTCCCAGGAGGAGGACTGATCAGAGGGTCCTGCTTAAGGTTGGGTTAATTCGATTTCACCTTCTGGTTAAGCTTACCATCTTTGATGCGAACGACGCGCTGCATCGCCTGGGAGAGAAGTATGTTGTAGAGAAAGAGGTTAAAGGCTGGCATACGAATCATGACTTAGCCCTTTTATATTATTTAAGAACAAAAATCATAGCCTACTGCAATTTTACTCTAATCATATACGACATTCTCTCTCTCTCTCTTTTCAGGTAAGTGACAGACTGGGATGTGGAGTGTGGAGCACGTAAGTGAAGCGCATGAGGGGGCTGGGGGACATTTGGGCCATGTTTGCATGATGCCAGACACTCTTATGAAAATAAGCGAATTAATAGCTGGAAGTCAGCATTCAGCAACAACGACTATTGCCAATGGCAACGCGGCTCGAAAGTTTTATTATGAATTGCGAATGCGCAGCGGCTCCCGGCAGGCGTAATGTGCTGACAATTGTGGGATTGCAGCCTCTTAGGCAAACAAACTTGGGCTATCTCGATAATTTCAACTTTAAAATGACCAGCCATACCGCGGCAGAACTTTCAAGAAGCTGTAAAAATGCAAAAGTTTGCCCAATAAACATTAGGGATAACTTTCCTAGCAACTCACCTTACGCTGCTCGAGCAGCCCATCGTGGCGTAGGCATAGAACTGAGGCCCCTCCCCCTCCTGCCCAGCGACAAGCTTATCAAATTTTTACAACTTTTTCTCATGTTTTCTTCTTCCTCCTCTCTCTCTCGATTCGTTTCGTTTCGTTTCGTTTGAATTAAAGTTTACTATTGTGGCTGAGGATTTTCGTATTTAAAAAGTTCTCTTCTACATTTTGTGAAATTACTTAAAGCTGTTGCTGCTCGAAACTGACAAATGGCCGATGAATTCATCAAATGTTAATTAAATTGCGCCCAATTACTTTGATTCTCTCAACTCCTCCCAGGCCCAAAGTCAGCCGGCCAACATCAAAAAGGTGTTGGCTTCGTGCCCCAGGCGCTGCTTAGCAAAAGTTAAGCAAAGGTCAATTGCGCCAAATGCCTAATTAACGCTTAATGAGCGACGGCGTCTGCCTTGATGACAAACTTTGCCTTCAACGCTCCAAGCAACTCGGGCAAGAGTTCAGCTCAAAAGCCAAACAATTGCGAATCGAAGCCCCCAACCCCATTCATAGGCATTGCCATTGACAGCTATGAAGTGTGTCTCGAATCGGAAATGCAATTTTTTATCAAGCATTTTGGGATCTGCAAACAGAAAGTCAATCTTTTGATTGAATCGTTTATTTATTTGCATTGTTTCTTCGAATATTTCATATCAATTTGTATTTCTTGCACAAATATTTAATTTAGTCTCCCTTTTAAGTCAGCTTTTCATTAGTTTATGTGTGGTTGCGTGCGGTCTGTGTGGCTGTGTGGTTGTGCGGTTGTGTGGTGCGGGACCACACAAACAACTTGTGCATACAACTTCTTGGCCAAATTGTAAAAAGTCTCCTTCGAGAGTTTAGCTTTGTTTGCCAAGGCCTTTCCTAGCATAAAACTATTTGGATGTTAACCTCTGGGCAGCAAATTTTTGTAATTACTTTCAAATAGGTCGACTCTGTCTGCCACCTCAAGAGAATCCCAGGAAATGAGGTTTGTTTATCTACTTATGCAAATTTACAAATTTCATAATGAGAGATCAAGAATCAACACAAAAATTTTAAATTATTTTCCGATAATTTGCAGTCATTCATACGATCAAGAACTCTTTAGGATGTCTACACTGCACAACATAAGAGCTGGCCATGCTATCGAATGCAATTTCAATCCACGTATCGAACAGCTGGAAAGTGCTTTTAATCATAGATGAACATTTTGCCCGATTACACGACATGTTCCAATATGAGGCGAACCAGCAGAGGCTGGATGCAAAAAGAGTGTGAGGCGTGCATATTTTGCAGTTATGAGCCAGCAGTGATAGCCATAATTAAAACCAAAGCAACCAAACAAATTTTGGGTATAGACAACGCAACAGACAGACCACGCCCCCGCCAACCCGCCCGCCCCAGCAGCTGCTCAAAAACATGGCCGACGTTTAATATTCCGCAATCATGCATACGACATGTTAAACGGTATGTGGTTGTGCGTGTGTGTTCGTGTGTGTGTGCGCGTGGGTGTAAGTGTGTGGTGAAGTGCGAATTACAACACTTCCTGCTGGGCACAAAACTTAACTATATGAACACATGTATCTGCTAGACTCGCCAGAGCCAGAGCCAGAGCATCACCTACATTCCAATGCTCCCATTTTATCTACAGCTGCAGCTACAGCAGCTGCTGCTGCTGCTGCTCTGCAATGTCAATGTGCATGGCCAACTCGAACGGAGAAAAACAAACATTTTCCATGAATTTTTCGTGCATGTGCAATGCAAAATTGCAATCTAATCAAGTTGAAAAGCCATACAATGCGTTTAATTGCTCGCAGCTGGCCGAAAGCTGAGAGGGGATATTGGGTCAAAGGATTCCACAGTGACTCGACCGACTGCGAATATCCAATCATGGACAATTATTTGCACAACCCAAATACAAATCTCTCGCATGCCTGGTTCAACTTCGGTTTCCCGCTCTCAATGCAATTTCTCATAAGCACGCCGCATGGCTGCTGAGTTGGCCTGTTGATTGGTTGGTCGGCTGGCGGTTGGTTGGCTCATGTGACAGGCTAACTGACAGGCTGGTAACTTGTTGATGTTGGCTTTAAAGGTTGCGTTGCGACAAGCGTTTTTCTTGCCCTGCACACGTAGGCGGCTTGTGCTTCATGTGTGAGCTGACACATCTTGCGAATGTCTAGGACTCATTGTGCTTTAAAAGTTTGATTGCATAAATGTGTTTAGTCAAAAAGATTTTACATGTTCTCAGCAGCAAACTGCAAAACTTTTCCATGTAATCGCCCCCGTTGAGCATCTCCCCGTGCGAGAGCTCAAATGCTTTTCACATGTATCTGCGGCATTGGCTTCCCAATTGCTGCTAAGTGCCAATCTGCTGAACAGCTCGGCAGCATGGGCAGGTGTGCTGGCAGTGATTCAGTGAGTATTCTCTAGGCAGGGCAGCCGAGCAGGCAAAGTCTCTTCGATTATCATGGCCGGAATTCATTTACAGACAATCAGTGCACGATCCTTTCGCATGCCATAGGCTTAGCCTGTTCATTAGATTAACTCAGGGCGAAGGCAAAATTGAATGCTGTCTAAGACCTCAACTACAACGTTGCCATTTAACTGATGCGGCCCACAAAATAATAAATCTTATTAGATGCACAAAATTCGCCTTAAGATCCATAAACGTATTTTACCATCGCAGCAAAGTCCTAAAGAAAAGGGCTTAGCTGCCACACACACACACACTCACACACACGCAGAAGGAATCGTCGACTAATGCGTATAGACATAGGACCCACACACTCACGCACACATAAATATGATGTACATGTGCACAATAAATCTAAGCCGATTTAATAAAAGGCATTAAAAAATATCTATTTTTCAAATGAAAAATATAAAATCGGCACGAAGTCAGCAGGAAAATGGCCAGCAGCAGCTTGGCAAAGGACACACACTCAAGTTGATTGGAAAAGTGCCTGCGCTGGGAGCAAGCCTCATCCGAGCCCCAAAATGAACAGCCGAGCAGTGAATGAATGGGGTCGAGAGGATAAAGTGAAGCCAGGTCCCTACATCAAATGGCAAAATGAAAACGGAGACAAGCCCAGAACTGACCGCTCACGCATGATTAAAAAGTCCGAGCTGGGTCGAAGAGCTTGGATACTCGGGCTTCCTTTCAAGTTGACTAAATGAGCATTCAAGCGTCTCAGATTATCAATATGCATGAATAGGAAGGGATGGCGCTCCACTCCGGGCCGTGTTGCCTTCACTGCCTGCCTGCCTGCCTACCGAATGACCAAATTGTACTTAAGTTGAACCGAAAGCAACACAGCCCAGATAATATGGGATAGCCGTACGAGATATGGGACGATTATGTGAGGTGGTTGCGAATCGCACTCATCGCACAGCCAGGCCCTCGCCTGGGCGGCTGTCTGCTAAATGAAGCGATTTCTCGCTCATTTAAGCTGCAGGGCAAACGGGGTAAGCGGAACTCCGGTTGATTGCAAAACGCTGCCGGCTATCTGTCGCAGCCCCGGTTCGGTCGTTGTGCAACACTGCCAATGCCAATAAGCATGTCGCAAGACGCTCCGTCTCCTCGTGAGCGACTGCATCTGCATTTACATACTTGTGCAGCTGTTTGACCCTCCACGGCACAGCTCAGCCGCCGACAGTCGGGGAGTTTTCGGTGCTCCGGGCCTTGTCGCCGGGTCGTGGATGTGCGGGATGTTCGCTTCGCTGCGCTAATGCGCGGCACTTGCGAAATGCTTAAAAACTCAATTAAGTGATGAACGGCGACGGCAATTGAGCAACAGCTTCTACGGAGCACAAAGGAATCGAGCCTTGGTCGCATCAGACGGTGCTTGAGCAGCATCTCAAGCCGATAAATACAATTAGTCAAGATTCTCCAGCATCAGACAGGCTGTGAAAAGCCCCACGCAGTGCAATCAGGAAACAAGTAAAGGTGGATAGCCCGACTAGATAATATCCCTTTGCAGTTATAATACTTTTTATTGGCCAAATTTAGCATTTGTAAAAGATTTGAAAAGAGTATTTTAAAACTTCAAAATTATTATCATCAGGGGGTGAACGAACCAACTATCATGGCTAAGTTGACTACACTCATTGTTCTATGCTCTACATTTGAACTTAATCCGCTCTTTGGGGCAAATGTTTAAAAAGTAGACAATATGAAAACAAAAATAAATTGACTTGTAAAATATTAAATGCGATATGCAACAATTAACTAAATACGACATTCAATAATTAAGTAAATGCACCTGACTAGTGGTAAGTTTTGAATGTAGATAAGTATATGTGTAGGGTAGGGTCCGTCCTGAAATTCTGGGACATGTCCCGCTTTTGGAGGTAATGTCCCGGTGCCCCGACTTGACACGGTTTTCTATTATTTCGATAAAAAGAAATCATTTTGACAAAATGCAAACTTGAAGAAGTTTGTGTCAAGAATTTCGTTTAGAAAAGCAACGCAGATAAGGTATTGTAGTTGGTAGTTTTTGACAGTCCTCGATTGGGCTCCGGCCCAGATGGTCACCCTACATACATATGTGAAAACTTTTAAATACTATCGATGGTGCAACCGATAGCAGGCATATACATGCATACATTTCTACATGCACTATCCAAAACCTTGCATTGTTTACTTATTTCTTAAGATAGCGATCCAATTAGTAACAATATGCACTAGTTATAATAATTGCAGAAATAAAGTCGCTCTTCTTATTATTGGCAGCTGTTGGCAATTGGTCGACCTCATATGCATATTGTCACGATCTGGCAACGCTAAATGTAAATGAACTTCCGAATACATAGAAAAAATGTCGGCTTCTAATTATGATTGATGCACTTTAAAGTTGTTGGCAAATTATTATTTGTGAAAGGTAAAGGAAGAACACCCAGCGCGATTCCTGTTGCCCCACGCTTAACTCAATTAGTCAACTTGAACAGGCTTCTGTTGCTGCTGTCGCTGTTGCTGCATGTTGCTGCTGCTCGTGACGTTGACGCTGCCATCGGTGCTCCATCCTGTCGGCTGGACCA